TTATTTTCTAAATGAAATTCTAATAAATAAAATATCAAACTATTAAATAAAATAACAAACTCAAATTAAAACTGTAAATAAGATTGTGATTGGATAATTAGGATTTTCGATTTCACTTAGGTTATTTATCAAACATTTAATTTCAATTTATTCAACAATCTTTTCTTATGTGCTATCGATCAAATTAACCTGATGTAGTTAGCAATCTTTCTCAAGCAACATTAATCATATTCATATGCCTGGACTTATTATATCTCTATATAAATTCACACACATATGAACTCATTTATTTAAAGGAATTCAACAAATGTCGCATAACTTATAATTATCTCACGACTCTTATAACATATATGATAATTATTGCACGAGCTAGAATTATACTTCACCTTTCGGTCTCAGTATTATCCTTAAATCAATTAATTGTTGCGTAAATAATTAAAGCATTAAACACACAATAATTAATTAATAAGTATTAAAACGACGTGAAAATTTTGAAATTAAACATATAATAAAAATCTTAAACTACGTCATTCATCATAACAATAAAAGTATTCACCCACTCATAACGTTAAAATTAAATATGAAAAAGTGGAAAAACATCGTCAAAATTTGACGAAACGTGATTAAGAGCTTGTTTGGAAGTGATTAAAATCAGATTAAAATTGAAAATATAGCTGTTGGAGTTGACTTTTATTAGACGAGTGAGAACGGCTATATTTTCAATTTTAATTGGATTTTAATCTTTCCCAAACAAGTTCTAAGTCTAATTAAAGCTGCCTCCTTGGGTTTTGCCGCCAACTATATCAAGCCGGCATTTGCTTGAAAATTTAATAATATATTGCAGCCTTTCGTTCTTTCTTCCACTCCAAACTATCGCCTTTTTCAATGCGTGAATGTATGTATAAATCAAAAGTGGCTGCCTCCAATTCTTCCCAGAATCTGCCTTCCTTCTATTTTTATGATCATTTTTTTGGATACTGACAAAAATACCCTTAAAATCAGGGATGTTTTGAAAAATCATATGAAATGTTTT